AAACGTCAGCCTCTCTGCTCCTATGATGCTGCTAGAACTGCTGGGAATCAAGCTTTCTAAGGGAAGCCTGAGGCATAGTTGTAGGGTCACTGGGGCTGATATCTTGACAACTCAGTGAAAGATAGTTAGTGGTCTGGCTGAAATTTGTCAGTTTTCCAGAGCAAGGAGGTGACCCTGACCGAGTGTTGCAGACTGGCACGTTCCAAGGCCCAGGACTACGTGCTGAGGGACACACTAAAGCTCGGGGCAGCTGCTGCCGAGGGGCAGTGGGGAAAGACCACCATTTGAGGTCTTCCTGCTGAAGGTAAACAGGGGTCCGTTCTGTTACCGGACGCTCCTGGTGCCTCAAATATATATAAATACAGTCTTGTACAAGTAAGAAATGTCTTTGGTTTGTTTGCTGGATGGAGTCAAACCACAATATTTGTTTGTTTCTTCATTAGCTACTGTACAGAACTGAACTGCTTTAGGGACTATGTGTATGTATAAAGATATTTTTATGAATAAAGTGTTTTTTGACATAATAAACAATCTCAGAGACACAGGCTAACATTCTGGGGTCCTGGGCTCCACATTGGCAACGAGTGAAATTTGAAATCAACTAGTCAAACAAGACAGACCTGACATCAAAAGTAATCGGGAGCAGAAAACTGCAGAAAGTCCATTTGGTTCACTAAGGAAATCTGCTCTCCTTACCTGGCCTACATGTGACTCCAGGCATGTCACAATGTACCTGAGTGCTCTCAAGGGAAATTAGAAATGGGCAGCAAATTTTGGTCCAGCTGTCAATATCCAAGGTCATGGATGATCATACGAAAGAAACATATGGAACAATCTATGCCTCTTTCAAATGTAACTTTCCTAATGTCCCTTCTCCTGTCAAAGAGAAGGAAGATGGACAAACTACACAATACAAATGTTCGGAAGAATTTCTGTGCATTCCATTTCTACTCACTAAGCTTGTTATCTGTTAGGCTTTAGAAAGCTTGCTGTCATTAGTGTTGCATCTAATCATTACTGTGTTTTGTCTAAACATTCTCCCAAGTTGACAATGTGTGCTCGCCTACTGAAAAGCACGGGTATCATGTTAATGCTTGTTTTGCACAGTTATTATACGTTGAAAATTTCCTTTAACCTTTACTTGGAGGGGCCTCCTCTTGTGGCACAGTGATAGTGTCCTTATCTTAGTGACTGGGAGGCCCAGGTTCAAGTCCACCTGCTCCAAAGCTGTGTAATAACTTCTCTGAACAGGTTAATTAGAGGAATAGGTTAATTTTTAAAAATGCAAATGGAAGGGCCCTCTTGTGGTGCAGTAGTAGTGTCAATACACCTGGATAAGGAGGCCCAGATTCAAGTCCAACAGCTCCAAGCAGTGTACATACATCTCTGAACAGGTTGACCAGAAAAATACGTTAAACAATAAAAAAAAAATTACATGCAGGGCCCTCTTGTGGCACATTGGTGGTGTCCATACACCTGGATCATGAGGCCTGGGTTCAAGTCCCACCTGCTCAGAAGTGTGTAATAACATCTCTGAACCGGTCAATTAGAAAAATAGATTAAATAGTTTTGAACATCTTTGCATGGATTCACAAAAGCTGGAGATGCAATAATTTCTCTGACAATGCACTGAGAAAAGATTTACCTTGAACATCCTGAGCACCTATGACTCGAGGAGGATAGAACTATATGCGAATTCGCTCTAATACCTCCAGACATGGGAAATCAAAATAGGTGGTAAATACTATGCCGATCCAACATACCACTTTCTACCATAACACATGGCTCTATAACTTTCTCCTTTTAGGTTCAATGCCTTTCTACTTCCAAAAGCACCTTGAAAACATAAGCAAGACCTTCACTAGAGATAGTAGGAACTGCAGATGCTGGAGAATCTGGGATAACAAGGTGTAGAGCTGGATGAACACAGCAGGCCAAGCAGCATCAGAGGAGCAGGAAGGCTGACGTTTCGGGCCTACACCCTTCATCAGAAATGGGGGAGGGGAAGGGGGTTCTGAAATAAATAGGGAGAGAGGGGGAGGTGCATAGAAGATGGATAGGATAAGATATCCATCTTCTATCCGCCTCCCCCTCTCTCCCTATTTATTTCAGAACCCCCTTCCCCTCCCCCATTTCTGATGAAGGGTCTAAGACCTTCACTATCTTGCTTTTGCTCTCGTTTCCTTTCTTTGTGAATTATCGAGGGATTTTATTGAAGTAACTGTAACTTTTTAAGTTGCTACAATTTCTCATACATCAAAGAACCTCCCTGTGCCCCTGTAAAGGAGAGGGCAGGAGTGCATTACTTACCATACTTGGATAGTGACTGGAAAGACGCTGTCAGTTACCACATAGTACCAACGATCTGGGATTATCCTCATATCAAAATAGGGCAGCTCTATAAAAACGAATCAGAGGAATTAAAAGTAGCACAACTAACTGCCTTGCGAATTACAAGGCTCGAGAAGGAAACTTGAGAACCGGCAATGCGAACTTGCTCAATGTCCAATATCACCACCCGAGCAAGATTTATGAACCGCTCCAGCGGCTCAAAACTGCGTGCCCTGGGCAATGCCATCGACAGCAGACTCTCATTCAACGAACGACCTGTAATCTCAGAGCTAGGCACTTGACCAACACAGATTCAATGGGGAAAGCATGCCACAAGCTGGGTACGTAAACAGGGTTCCCACATGCTGAAGCTACTGCATGTTAAACAGTGGACACGGCATGCAATCTTATGATTGACTAAACAGTGATCCCGTAACCAAACGATCAGATTAAACTTCAACTGACCTGCTGTATGTGTCCTGAACGGTAGTGGACAACTAACCTACCGTACTGACTGGAGAAAGAGGCTCATTCAGTATCCTTTATCACAATGGAGTTGCATAAGGTAGGTCAAGGTGAGGCAGCTCAGTCAGAATCCCATCGCACTGCATTCAGAGTCCTAGCACTGAACCCAGGTAACAAATGAACGCCAAACTCACCATAGTTCTGAACTTGAAATGATGTTACACCTTCGCTTTTAGAGTTTCCGCTGACTGTAGCCCGGATCTGGTACCTCCCAATCCTATAATTAAGTAAATGCATTGGATGATGAATGCTTTTGGAGGAAATAAGAGAGCACATTGAGGAATAACACGCACAGTTTGGAGCAAGCACTTTTTAAAGATATGGCTTGGTGTTGCTTGAAGTCAAATCATCTGCTGTGAGGCAGCTTGAATGTTTTAGTAGTGAAAGCAATCTGTGCCTGTCCATTCTAAATATGGGGCCCCAAATGTTATCTAGCGACCAGACTGTGCTCCATGCCCGAGTTTGGATATCAATGCCAACCCTGGTCTTTATTGCCCCTGATTGCCCTTCAGAAGTTGATGGTGAGCTGCCTTCTGTAAATGCCCTTTCCTCTGAAGAAGGGTCACTGCACTTAGAAACGTTAATCTTGCTTTCTCTCTACAGATGCTGGCAGATCTGCTGTGTTTCTCTATCAATTTCTGTTTTCGTTTCAGTCGGTCGGGGCATTGTGTACAAAAGTTGGCAATTCATTCTGCAATTGTATAAGATTTTGGTCAGGGCACCTTTGGAGTTCAATGTGCAGTTTTGGTCACCACAACTATAGGAAGGGTGTGGAGGCTTCGGAGAGGCTGCAGAAGAGGCTTACCAGGAAGTGACCTGGACTGTAGTGTATTAGCTATAAGGAAAGATTGGACAAACTTAGATTGTTTTCTCTGACTAACAGAGGCTGAGGGGTGTCCTGATTGAAGTAGATGAAAATTGGATAGGGTGAATAGTTGGAGGTTTTTTTTCCCAAGGGTGATAATGTCAAATACTAGGGGGCATAGGTTTAAGGCAGGAGGAGGAAAGTTTAAAGGAGATGTGTGAGGTATGTTTTATACACAGAGAGTAGTAGGAATGTGCTGCCGGGGGAAGTGATAGAAGCAGCTACAATAGCAAAGGTTAAGAGGCATTTAGACAGACACATAAACAGACTGAGAACAGAGGGAAAGCGCCCATGTGCAGGTAGGTGGAATTAATTTAGATTAGTATCATGGTCGACACAGACATGGTGGGCTGAAGGACCTGTTCCTGTGTATTCTGTTTGATGTTCTATGTTTGTAATTTGTACATCAATCTCTTCCCTGCACAGACATCAGATTGAACTCAAGACTCATTGCAAGCTCTGATGTGGGCTCACTTTCAAGAAATGGACAGAATTGGAAATGGCACCGTCTGTTGTTAACCTTCACTCAAACCAAGCTTCCACCTGAGTACAAGATATTCTCACTTGAGTGATATTTATCCGCTGAATTCCTGCTCTGTACCAACATCAAGGATCTGCTAACCTCCACTCACCTATTTTCCCTGCAATCACTTAACTTTTTTTTAATGTGGAACCAAGGGCCAGTTGGAACTCAATTTCACGATTGATCTCATTGTTTCTTTTTGTGCATGATTACTGTGCAAAAGAAGACTATTTGTCCCACCGTGCATGTACTGGCCATACATATACTGAGTTCCACATACACTGGGTAACAAAATATTTCCTCAAATCTCCTATAAACCTCCTGGTTCTTACCTGAAAACTGTGTCCCCTCAGAGGCAAAGTTTCTCCGTATGGACCATAGCTATGCCTCTCATGACTTTGTACACCTCCACCTTTTCAGGTCCCCCATTCAGTCTTCTCTGCTCTAAGGAAAACAATCCCATTCTATCCAATTTCTCTTCATAGATGAGTCACTCAAGCCCAGGCAACATCCTGGTGAATCTCCCCTGTACTCTCTCCAGTGCAATCATATTGCCTCTATAGCGTGGTGACCGGAACTGCACACAGTCCTCCAGCTGTGACCAAACAGCTCCAGCTGTCCCATCCCCTTATCCATGTTGCCTTGCAGCATTTCATGTTCAGATAATGATCCAAGTCTCCTTTGAATCCCTCAATTAAACCTGCCTCCGCCTCATTCTTAGACAGTGTAGTCTAGTGTCCTAACCATACAATGCATGACGAAATGTTGCCTTTGCTTCTTTCGCCAACCATTTTAAATCGGCCGCCACTTGTCCCCAATTCTTCTGCCAGTGGGGCAGGTTTTCCCAATTGACTCTGTCTAGATTATTTTAAATACGTCCAAAAGAACATCTCTTCTCAGCCTCTCTTTCTGCACTTGAACAATTTTTGCTTCTCCAATCTATGTAACTGAATTTCCTCATCACAAGCTCTTTTCCCTTGACTCATTTCTGCATCCTCCCTAATGCCTTCTCGTTCTTCTTGAGATGCGGTGCCTCAAACTGGACAATATGCTCTATTTCCCTCGCATGCTGCAAGCCTGTAGAAAGGCTACGACCCTTCAAAGTTATCCATTTCCTTAAAGGTACTCAAAGCTGAACAGATTGCAGGAGTTTAGTGGCTGCCCAGACCCTACCTCAGTATGGAGTCAATCCTTCAGTGATTCCAGGAAGAAAGATAAGAGAGTGGAACTATCGAGCAATACGGATGAGTACAATGAGTCATAGAGTCATAGAGCACGGAAACAGACCCTTTGGTCCAACCAGTCCATGCTGACCATGTTCCCAAACTGAACTAGTACCACTTGCCTGCTCCTGGCCCATATCCCTCCAAACCTTTCCTGTTCATGTACTTATCCAAGTGTCTTTTAAATGTTGCAATTGTACCCGCATCCACCACTTCCTCAGGAAGTTCATTCCACACATGAACCACCCTGAGTGTAAAAAATTTTCCCCTCACATCTTCTTTAAATCTCTCTCCTCACACTTTGCAAATGTGTCCCCTAGCCTTGAAATCCCTGATCCTAGGAAAAAGACACCTACCATTTACTCTATCTGTACCCCTCATTATTTCATAAAATTCCATAAGGTCACCTCTCAACCTCCTACACTCCAGTGAAATAAGTCCCAGACTTTCTTTATAACTCAAACCTTCCATACCCAGCAACATCCTGGTAAATCTCTTCTGAACCCTCTTCAGCTTAATAATGCCCTTCCTATAGCTGGGCGACCAGAACTGGAAGCAGTACTCCAGAAGAGGCCTCACCAACACCCAGTACAACCTCAACATGATGTCCCAACTCCTATACTCAATAAATGCAAGAAATACAATTGAGTCTTACATTTCAGACTGGATGCTGATTTCTCCACTGTGCACTGAGTTTGAGCCATCCTGTTCATTTGCACTTGCTAAAACATTACCCTGGGAGTCCTGGAAGAAAAGACTACATTTTGGCCATGTATTGCAGTTAAAACAAATTTAAGCAAACATCAAATATTTTTGATGGCAAATTCAGCTGCAAGATTCCACAATGTTAGTTGTTGCAATCTAAATTTAGCTGTTAGCTTCATCTGTTTCAATTCAGCTAATTCTAATTCTAAACTGCTCCTCAAGTTACAATTCAAGGGTTTCTGTCCCATCTCTAGGGTCTGACTTGTCTACTCCTGTTCCTAATCCCTATGTCCACGCTTCTTGTCATGGACTTGGATAGAGTGCAGAGGGTTTTTACTGCAACAGTACTTGGGCTGAAAAGATTCAGATGGAGACACTGGCGATCAAAAATTAAGATGGTGGTGTGTATTGCTCAATAGCATCAGTTAGACTCTCTCAAACATGTCTATGTGCACTCCACAGAGAGTGCAATCTAATGATAGGATTACCTCAGATCTAACCGGATCTATGGGGACAGCATTCACCGTGACCAGGTATTGATGTGATTTTAATAATTTGGAGCTAAGTTATAGAATCCCTACAGTGTGAAAGCAGGCCATTCAGCCCATTGAATCCACACTGTCCCTCCCAAGAGCATCCTATCCAAACCCACTTCCCTACCCTATCCCTGTAACCCTGCATTTCCCTTGGATAACCCACCTAGACAGCACATCTATGAACACTATGGGCAGTTTAGCATGGCCAATCCAACTAAATCTGCACATCTTTGAACTGTGGGAGCGAACCGGAGCACTTGGAGGAAACCCATGCAGACACAGGGAAAAACGTACAAACGCTACACAAACTGTCATCCGAGGGTAGAATCAAACCTGGGTCCCTGGCACTGTGAGGCAGCAATGCTAACCACTGAGCCACCATGTCACCCCTATAATAGGGAGGAAGAGCACTTGTTGGCAGATAGGACATGCTTCCGAAAGCTATATAAACTTACCCATATACCCATAGTAAATATTCGTAGCATTTGGAACTATGTTATATGATAAATATCAAGAAAGAAGTATAAAACCATCACTTACAGATACTTCTATTAAAACTGTGGTATCTATGGGATTCATCTCTTCATCAAGTGTAAAAATTTGGTATCGTACTGAAAAAACAAAAGGTGGTTTTCCAAGATTACTAACTTTAAATGGAATTGTTGCAATTAATGGTGAAACCTCATAATTCAATACAAGAAGGTCCACACAGAAAAAATACAGCTTCCAAGGATGACCTTACATTTATTCACTGTCCTTCTGAAAACATTGCTTTCATAAAGGTACCAGTCTCAGCTCTCTTCGAATTTCCCAATAGACAACTGAAACTGCAATTGCCCCAGGCATGATAGGAATTGTAATGCATCAGCTCCATTGAAACTATAAGCCCCACATTATGTCCTGAATGGTCTGGACAGAGTGGATGTTGGGAAGATGCCTCCATTGGTAGGAGACTAGGACCCGAGAGCACAGCCTTAAGAATAAAGGGTAGGCCTTTTAGAAAGGAGGTAAGGAGAAACTTCTTCCGCCAGAGTGTGGTGAATTTATGGAATTCACTGCTGCAGAAGGCTGTGGAGGCCAGGTCATTGGGTACATTTAAGACTGAGATAGATAGGTTCTTGATTATCGAGGGGAATCAAGGGTTACGGGGAGAAAGCAGGAGAATGGGGTTGAGGAACTTATCAGCCATGATTGAATGGGGGAGCAGACTCGATGGGTTGAATGGTCTAATTTCTGCTCCTATGTCTTATGATCTTATTACTTCCTGTTACAAACTGTTGAAACACCAATGCCAGTTTATGGGGGCTTGATGCCATCAAGTGAAACTAACATCTAGCTTCACTTGTCGCCAATTACTATAGAATGACACAGTACAGAAGGAGACCATTTGATCTGTCGTACCTGTGCAGGCTCTTTGATAGGGCTATCCAGTGAGTCCCATTTGCCTAAATCTTTCCCCATCAAGTATTTGATATAAAAGAAAGTTATTGCTGAATCTGCTTCCACAGTGCATCCACAGCATTAAAACTCACTGTGACTAAAACTTCTCCTCCAGTCTTTTCGGTTACATTTGCCAAATATTTGAAAGAGAACTCTCATGTCTGACAATGAGCAGTAACAAGTAACACATTCAGGTCTGAATTTCCCTGCACTCCTTTGGTGAAAGGCAATGAGACTCGATCAGTTGCCAATATGCTCCCAGAGCCAACGAACGGACCCAAAAGATGCCCTACTGCTCAAACAACTATTTTATCCCTGCATGAAGAAAACAAGCCAAGACAATTGGTCTATTTGGTGTGGTGCCAATTATTTACCAGTTTGATTAGGTTTGTAGATGGGTTTGTCAGTTATAACATAAATGAAATAAAGTCGTGGTGCCAGCTGAATCCGTGTCTTTCGTGTCACGTCAAATGGGATTTCAGCCACGAGGACTGCGTATTGTGTTTGATGGGCGATGTCCAAATGCTTTGTCTTTTCTGGAAGAACCTGTGAAATAAAAGTTTTGTAAGTTACTATAGAGAATATTTGCTCCAAAGTGGACAATACAACCTCTCCCAATAACAAGGTGCATACGTTTTGCAGAACAAAGTTGAGGCTAAACCTTAAAAAGACATAACAGGATTGGCAATGAAAAGAAAAGGATGACATGCTGAGTTTCAGAGAGAGGCAGGGAGGTTTAGGGAAGCAATTTAATAAGGCTATGCATTGATAGAATAAGCATATTATGTCTGAATTTCCTTGCAAAGCTGAGGACAGGTATTTCAAGTAAATATAAAGCAGCCTGCTCTGTCTGAAAACAAGCATCATGCACTCAATCAGAAGGAAGTTACATATTTGTTCTAATTTCCATACCTGAACAGAACAAGATTCAATGCTGTTAACACGATAACCCATCAGCCCGACCTCTGTTAAACCAGAGTGACATTTTCTACTGTCAGAAAACAACCTCCCAATTCAGGGGAAAATCACAAAGGACACCTACTGACTAGTTATTTAGTAAAGGGAGCCAATGTCCCAACGTGGAAATGGTAAATGAGTGATAATGACTTTTAAGCGAATGTTTTCATCAATTTCAAAGACACAAAGCTAGGTCTTAAATGACTTGTGCAAGGACACAGAAGTGACAATTGTTGACACTCACCTTTACTGGCTCCATCCCTGCCTCTTTGACCTGTCTGTCTCCTCTCCACCTATCTTCTCCTCTATCCATCTTCTATCTGCCTCCCCCTCTCTCCCTATTTATTTCAGAACCCCCTTCCCCTCCCCCATTTCTGAAGAAGGGTCTAGGCCTGAAACGTCAACCTTCAAGCTCCTCTGATGCTGCTTGGCCTGCTGTGTTCATCCAGCTCTACACCTTGTTATCTCTAGTGACAATTATTAGCCTGTTAGCAAAATATTCAATTCAATTTGGAGCAATTTTAAACTACCTTGCATGCCAGGAAATGGGCAAGGATTGGGCAGGATATCGGTTTTTAACCGCCCAGCCAGCTCCATTCTATATTGAAGATTAGAATTGAAGATTAAGATGAAGCTCTGCTCAATGCTGTCTGGAAAGCTGGTTGCAAGTACCACCCAATAGTGATAGGAGTAATTGGTACAAAGATATGGGACGCTTAATGACAATCTATTCAATCAGACAGCTGGGTGAAGGATGTAGATTGCGAGAGACATTGATGGCATCATATAACATCGTTTCCATACAAAACTCACAATTCATTTTATTTTATTTGTTCCAACAGTTACATGATCAATTAATTAAAGAAATGAGAAGCTGCTGGGAACTTTACAGTTACAGAAGATGTTAAAAGTTAAGAGGAAAGCTTGCACAGCCTAGGCTTGTAGTTGCTCAAATCTGATTAAGATTATGGGATGATCTAATTGAGGTTTTTAAAATGATTCAAGGATTTATCAGGGCAGGCAGAGAGAGAGAGAGAAACTATTTCATGTGGTAGTGAAAGTTCAGAATACAAGTAAGAACAGTAATTAAAAATTAGGGTTAGGCTGTTCAGTGGTGATCTGCTGAAGCACTTCTTTGTACGAAGGGCAATGGAAACTTCCGTGTTTCCTTGAAACAATTATTCAGGATAGAACTCATCACCGCACAGCAAAAAGGTGCGTTGATTAGGAAGAGCCAGGATGGCATTCTAAAGGAGAAATCGTGCTAAACTAACTTAATGGAGTTTCTTGAAGAGGTAATATCAAGTGTAGATGAGCGTAATGCTGTAGATGTAGTGTATATGGACTTGCAAAAGGAGTTTGATACAGAGTCACATGGGGCAGACCTATGAGAGAAATTACAGTTCTTGGAATAACTGGAGCAAAATGGATACAAAACTGTCTGATTGATAGGAAACAGAGTGCAGATGTTAACTCGTGTTTTTCAGGCTGGAGGAAGTTTTTTTTAGTGGAGTTCCAAGTGGTCAGCATTGGCATCCTTGCTTTTCCTGATATATATTTAATAATGTACGGAGAGTTAGAAGGAACAGTTAAGTATACTCATTGTTATTAATGAGGCACAGAGTTCAGGAACAAGGAGGTTATGTTGAATTTCTTATTCGCCCTCAGGTGGAGTATTCTGTGCAGTTCTGTGTGCCGCACTGTACAAAGAATGTGAACACATTGGAGAGAGTACAAAAGAGATTTACAAGAATGTTTCCAGAGATGAGGAACTTCAGTTATGTAGACAGATTGAAGACATCGGGACTGTTATCCTTGGACAGAAGGAGGCTAAGAAGAGATCTGACTGAGGTTTTCAACATTATGAGTGGTCTGGATTGAGAAGTCAGGAAGGAAGTATCCCTGCTTGTAACGGGATTGAGAAGTACAGGGGAAGCTTTGGTCTAATTGGATGATACAACAGGCTCAAGGGGCTGAACGACCTACTCGTTTTCCCATGTTATCCAACCAACTATTATTATATTTCTCTCACCTTTGCTGCTTGTGCCTTACACCAGCATTTAATCACCCCATCCTTCATCTACACAGCAATCATTCATTCATCCTCCCCTGCCCCAATATGCTTGTCTCCATTCCTTCCCCTTTAGCAGCTGCTTTTCCATTGAATTACCTGCATGTGGATAACTTTGGTGAAGTTGTTTGCCTGGTTCAGTTCGACCTTATGTTTCTGGGACAGCAGGACTTCTGGTGATTCCCCCTCAAAGTAGACGGTGACGGCAACGCTGGGGGGGCCCTGGAATACTTGAATGGTGATAGTCTCGTCCATGCCGATGTGAACCACATTGGGAGCAATGATCAGGTATCTGACAAAATCAACATGGCACACTGTTCAGGAAATTCACATTTTCACGTACCTGCCCAATCCCAGCTCCAGCCTGACCTATTTGTTACTCTTCTTTGACGAAGACATTAAGCACCGTCCTCATTTTCCCACAGCTGAATGTAAAGATCCCGCTGAACACTTTCAGGGCCCTTGTGTATCTTCACCTCTCTGGCTCTCCATTGCCTGTCCACCATCTACAAGGCACAAGTCAGGAGTGTGATGGAATACTCCCCACTTGCCTGGATGGGTGCAGCTCCAACAACACTCAAGAAGCTTGACACCATCCAGGACAAAGCAGCCCGCTTCATTGGCACTACATCCACAAGCATCCACTCCCTCCACCACCGACACTCAGTAGCAGCAGTGTGTACTATCTAAAAGATGCACTGCAGAAATTCACCAAAGATCCTCAGACAGCACTTTCCAAACCCAGGATCACTTCCGTCTAGAAGGACAAGGGCAGCAGATACATGGGAACACCACCCCTGCAAGTTCCCCTCCAAGTCACTCACTATCCTGACTTGGAAATATATCGCCATTCCTTCATTCTGTCTAATCCGTGTGGATCTCAAAATTTCTGTTCAACAGACTTCATTCACCGCAGGGTACTGAGCTCCTTTGTACAACTCAACCATTAAAAAAAAAACGCAGCAATGCTCCATTGTTATTATAAAACCATCCCCTTATGTGAGCAGGGCAAAATGCTCTCAAAACATGAAAATAACTCCTGATTTACCGTTGCAGAACATCCAGTGTCACAGCTTTGTTTTATTAATTCTGTCAAAAGAAGCTTTTCTATTTCAGCTTACGCGCATTAATCTGTTGGACAAAGGGAATTCTGAACTGACGACATGTGAGGACTGCGAATTAGCGATGTCTCAGTTATGGGTCAAAATTAGGAAGCTCTCCTGCATGGGATGGTGTCTATACCCCAGGACTGCAGTGGTTCAAGATGTCAGCTCATCATCACTTTCTCCAGCTCAGTTAGGGATGGGCAATAAATATTAGCCCGACCAATGACAACTGTGTCCTGTGAGCATGAATAAAAATTTACTCTCCAATTGATACCTACTCAAGAAGGGAAGCGTAATCCACTCCATAGACGCTTATCAGTCTAGTTTCTAGGAAAACTGAAAACCAGTTTATGCAGAGCAATCTGTGATAAGGACTGTGTAATTTGCTTTTGTGCCTATTTGAAGGGTAAATATTAGCCAAGCCACCTGGAAGAGTTCACCTGTTTGTCTTCAGAATGTATATTTTATATCCCTCTCAGAGGGTCTGATAATGCAGTTCTGTAAGACTACTAATCAATCCCTCAGCAGTGCACCATCGTTCAATCTCCATCCATGCCTTAAAAAAGAATGGATGCAGAACCACTTTGTTTTCTTGAGTTCGTGATCTGATGTTAGGCCCTATGGGTCGGGCAAGGAGGCAGATCCCAGAGCACCCCAATCAGAATGGGCATCAAACTTGATACCGTTGGCACCAAGTTGATCAATACCATCCGACCAAACAATTCTGCACCCACCCACCCCCCATCCCCAGAGACTCTGAGTAGCTTTGCTAACACATAGTTTGATGTGTGTGCTGCAGTCTGGAGTAATGGCTAGTGATGGTAGAGGGTTCATTTTTTTTTAATTCTTTCACGGGATACGGGTAGCTCTGGCTGGGCCAGGGTTTATTGCCCTTGAGAAGGAGGTGGGGAGCTGCCTCCATGAACTGCTGCCTTGAATTCCAGGATTTTGACCCAGCAACAGTGAAGGAACGACGATATATTTCCCAATCAGGATGGTGCATGGAGGGGAACTTGCAGGCGGTGGTGTTCCCATGTATCTGCTGCCATTGTCCTTCTAGAGGGTACAGGTTATGGTTTTAGAAGGTGCTGTCTGAGGAGCTTTGTGAATTTCTCCAGTGCATTCGAGCATCAGAGGTGGAGGGCATGAATGAATACGGTCGGCCGGGGAATCGCTCGCACATTTATCTACTGCCATTGGATGCTAGAAGGATTTGCAACTTAATGGCCAATTTCTTTGGCCATGTCGTGAGCAAATCTTCCCTGGCCATCAACTCCTGAGTGGGAATGGAACCCAGAATTTCTGTCTCATAGGTAATGATGACACTACTCATTGGATTTCAAGAGCTCCCATAAGACACACATGAAGATGCAGAAGCAAATTTGTAAGGACAATACCAAAACTGAGACTTTATGCCTTTAAGAAATGTTGAATAGGCTGGAGCATTCTTCACGCAAAAAGAGAAGGTTGGAGGCGAGAGGAGAAAGATTTTAAAAAAAAGACATGAGGGGCAACTTCTTTACACAGAGAGTGCCTTGTTTGTGGAATGAGCATCAGAAGAAGTGTTGGATGCTGGTATAGTTATAATGTTTAAAAGACGCTTGGATAAGTTGATAAGTAGGAAATGTTTGGAAGGATATAGGCAAAGTGCAGGCAGGTGGGACTAGTTTAGTTTGGGATTTTGCTTGGCATGGATTGGTTGGACTGAAGGGTCTTTTCTGTTCTGTATTAATCCATGACTATATGACTCTCATTTAGGTGTCTTTAAAGATGTGGGAAGGCAAAAGTGGAGAAAATGGTTCTATTTGTGAGGGAGACAAGAACTAGGGACTGCAAATATAATGCAGAGGCAAATCAATTCAAATCAGAAAAAAATCTCTGGCAACCACTCAGAAACCGATATCCATTTCAAGCCCACCGACTCCCACAGCTACCTAGAATACACCTCCTCCCACCCACCTTCCTGCAAAAATGCCATCCCCTATTCCCAATTCCTTCGCCTCCGCCGCATCTGCTCCCAGGATGAAGCATTCCACTCCCGTACATCTCAAATATCCTCGTTTTTCAAGGACCGCAACTTCCCCTCCTCGGTGGTCGAGAACGCCCTCAACCATGTCTCCCACATCTCCCGCACCTCATCCCTCACACCCCGTCCACGCAATAAGAACCAAAAAAGAATCCCCCTCGTCCTCACGTACCACCCCACCAACCTCCGGATCCAACGTATCATCCTCCAACACTTCTGCCATCTGCAATCCGACCCCACCACCAAAGACATTTTTCCCTCCCCA